CTATATGTATAATATAATTTGTGTGTTTGTGCGTATACTATATGTATAATATAATTTGTGTGTTTGTGTAATATCGGTAAATACTGTATCAGTTATCGGCCATAACACCAATGATGGGACATCGATATTGGATAAAATTTTCATATCGGTGCATCCCTATCTGGGACAGATTACAATCATCAGACTTAATGTGTTAACATTTTTAAGACTTCTGAAGATTGATTTAAGACATTTTAAGGCTAATTAAGGCCTTATTTTTGGATTGATGAATTCAATGACTTTTAAGACTTTTTAAGGATCTGCAGGAACCCTGCCTTAACGACACCCCACTGTAGCCTGTTACTGGTTCCTCTGCACCACCATCACCCAGGACCTCAAATTTAAGGTGACCATTGGCTCCCTCATCAAGAAGGCCCAGCAGAGGATGTACTTCCAGTGACAGCTGAAGAAAGCTGAGCTGCCGGCCAGGCTGATGGTGCAATTCTTTTACACGGCCATCATCGAGTCCATCCTCAGCTCCTCCATCACGGTGTGGTATGCCGGGGCCACTGCCAGGGACAGACAGACTGGAGCGCGTTGTGCACTAGCCTCCCACCTCTCCATGACCTGTAAGTCTCCAGGACTGTGGGGCGAGCAGGTGGGATCACAGTTGACCCTTCTCACCCTGCATACAGTCTATTTGAACCACTCACCTTGGGTAGGAGGCTTCAGTCCATTTGGACCAGAACCTCCCGCCATAAGACCATTTTCTTCCCCTCTGCCGTCGGACTCTTGAACAATCATAATCACGCCACTTTGTAACTCTGCCTTGTCACTTTATCGCTGTATATAATTGCACTACTCCAATTACACTGTATTGTGTATTGTATTGTTGTACATATGTTGTTACTTTTTTAATCTTTTATATTTTACTCTCACCTTAATGCTGAAGCAAATTCCTAGTCTGTGAATCCTGTTTATTGACAACGGCAAAAATAAAACTGATTCTGAATCTGGTGTCCAACCCATGTCTGCTTTGGTTATACTGACTGTGTAAGACAACAGCAGCAAAGTATTTGATGGTAGAGATTGTGAGTCTTTTCTCAATCAGAAGGTGAGATGGTGTGAGTGGTTGTGGTTCTCCTGTTGTATTGTTACTCACACAGGAGAGACCTAAAGTTCAGCAGCACCTCCACCTCTGTAAGCATGGTCATCAGCTCCTCTGAGTTCAGTGAAGCTCTTCCCAAATAGTTCCTTCAGACAGGTTTTCACAGAAAGGTTTGGAGAACTGAAATCTGAAGCTTCCTCTTGTTGCTGATTTTTTTGCATTTGACATGACATTTGACTCTCAAACCATCTGTCTTCTCTGTCCAAAAACGTTTAGATGGACAGCCGTGTTTTGTCCTGACGTTTCTTTGTTTCGTCTCCCTGAACAAGAACCCTTATGGCTACAAGATCTAGATCAGGACTCAGCTCCCCCCAGAACAAGAACCAATGCCCATCACAGTGGCAGACGTCCACACAGAGCTGGACTGCACCAATGTCTGACATGATCTACACCAACTGGCTAAAGAAACTGTCTAACAGAAGGGACTGACCTAGAGTGGTTGACCCAAGGCTAATTACTTGCTTTTATACAACATGGAAGCTCAACAGAATTGTTTTCAGTAAAAAAAATAAAAAACAAATATGCATGAGCAGAGCAATATGATATTCAGTATTTAATGAAATCTGCTCTAAATCTTTGACTAAATGTTAAATTAATTCACAAGATGCATCAGTATAATCTATTTTATGATTTTATTTCCATGCAGAAGTGACTTTTTAAATTTTAAATTACTAAACAATAACATCTGACGTGTTTTATGTTGAGTTTTATGTTAAAAAAGTTCTACCACAACAGTAAAACATAGCTTTCCTAATAATCCATGTAAAAAAAATTGAATAGGTTCTCTGGACAAGTTAATCCGTGTGAAAGTACTGCTTATAAGGTTGAGTTTACTTGCAACTCCTAAGACTAAATCTCTTGAAGAAGAGATAAAATGTTTCAACAAAGAAGAACTTGTCCAGAGGACTTGCTCAACTTTTTCTTTTTTCGAAAAAGTATCAGACAAACATAATGGTCATAAAAAATAACTTACCGAAGGCAGAATTCGTATTTTACATGTAACTGGAATAGAAACACCTGTCACAAGCTTCTTAAGGATCTACAAAATACAAAAATAAAATAAAAACAAGAAATAAAAGTCAATCTTTGGGTTTACATAAAATCAGTACAAATGCTTTTTAATAAAAATCACTATGTTTAAGTTGGAGTTCTCACAGCTTCAATCTTGTCTGGATCTGATAGAAGAGCAGCTCCCATCCCTCCCTGTAGGACAGCAGAGGTCAGAGGTCAACCAGAGGCTTAGCGTTCACAGCAGCAGCATTTTCACCAGATTTTACCTTAGTGGAGTATTCCTTTGGACAGCCCATGTTTACATCGACGGCTGCCACATCCTTCTCCCTGGATGAAACAAACACATCACAGTCTGAGCCAATCCTCTGGCCAGGTTCAGCAATACATCATGTGACTCAAAACATCTGGCCAGAGTTGAGTTTTACTTCCTTACAAATCTTATTAATAGTGTTACAACTTCAGAGCATACAGTGGGGAGAACAAGTATTTGATACACTGTTGATTTTTCAGGTTTYMCYACTTGCAAAGCTTGTAGATGACTGTAATTTTTATCATAGGTACTCTTCAACTGTGAGTGATGGAATCTAAAACAAAAATCCAGAAAAATACAATGTATGATTTTTAAATAATTCATTTCCATTTTATTGTGTGAAATAAGTATTTGATCATCTATCAACCAGTAAGAATTTTGGCTCTCACAGACATGTTAGTTCTTCTTTAAGAAGCCCTCCTGTTCTCCACTCATTTCCTGTATTAACTGAACAATGAAGCCGAAACCTGAAGGCTCTGGAGGAGATCTGTATGGAGGAGTGGGCCAAAATTCCTGCTGCAGTGTGTGTACAAACC